CCCATTCCACTGCCAGACAACATTGCCGACAAAACCAAGCTTACTGAAATTCCATAGATATCCGTTACTATATGGATATTGGATATTTTCCATTCCTAATTATCAAATTCAAGCATGGCAGTTCTACCACAGGAACCATTTGAAATCTATGCCATTTAACCCCAGCACTTGTGGGGAGAAGTGATCGGATAGATCACAGGCAGGACCAAAAAACCACGCAGTAGCCCAAGACCTTATACTTGGGTAGCATCGGCTCCCTCTCGTCAAGGGGTTCGATAGCACTCGTTTTTTCTGCAAAACTAAGTTCAGTCGGCGGCCGAACGGCTGGGGGTCTAATCGAGCCCCCTCCCCTCCCCTTCTTACGTCAGTGGCTGTGAAAATGCCATTACCAGCTGTTGAAACATGGCAGTTGCTTTTGCATGAGTGCACGAAAGGGTTTTAGGTACGTGATACGTGAAAGGTTCTACATGAAAATTGAGATACACCAGCTTATCCCGCGCCCAGATGGGGTCTGCCGAGCAACGCGGTCTGATGGGGGGGGGGGCCATTTTGGCCCCCCCTCAGATCTCGAGAACCACGCAAGATAGCGACAAGCGGTAAACGGTGTTGGATAGCCCCAGCGGGGAACTACCTTGTGACCCAATTTCATTGACCTCGGTCAAACCGATGACGTCACAGGTCAGGTCAAAGGTCGAATTTTCACCGTTTACAGGCATTTCAAGAAATGCGTTGTAAAATCGAGTAAAATGCATTTCATTGAAAATCATCGATGAAGAAATGTTCTTCAAACACATATTTTGCTATTTGAGGTCACTGATACCAGGTCAGGTCACAGAGGTCAGGTCACTGGGGGGGTCACAATATGAAAGTGTCGTGTGATACATGTTTTATGGTCCATTTTACATGACAAATGCGATTATGTGGGTCAGACAGACTTCAGGGCCAGCTTAGGTCACGTTTTGGTCAAGGTCAGGTCAAGGTCAGGTCAAGGTCAGGTCAAGGTCAGGTCAAATTAGGTCAAATTTCAAAGTTGATATTTTTGCATAAAATGGGTATCGATTCGATGCAGCTCGTCACGGGGAGTTCAATGGTGGTCTCCGTTTTGCGCTACGAGGTCTAGAATTGCTAAAAATTGAGTTCAAAAATTTGACGTCATCAATTTTTAACAGTTTTTTCGCTATAACTTGGCCAAAAAAAAGAGGTATCGATCTAAAATTTGGTATGTATATCGAAGAGCGCAGGGACTATCACATATATTCCGGTTTTTTCGAAATTCGAAAATTTTTTGGAAAATTTTTGAGTTTTTCTAAAAAAATCAATTTTTTGATTTTTGGGGGTCAAAATCCCAAAATTTCGAAAATCCGAGATAGCAGTTTTGTAGCGCCGTCTTTTCTCTACACAACCACATAAAGAACTTTAAAATTGCTTGTTAGCTGTAGAATTGGTGAGCGTTTCAAGATGTCATGTTTTTTGCTCATTTTTGCTCGAACATGACCTCAGTTTGACCTCAATAACTCCTGACCTGAGGTGACCTGTGACTTGAAATTTTGTGTGAAGGTGTCAAATTGATGCCCGGTAAGGTACCCAAAATTTGGCGGCGCTGCGCGCCGCCGTTTTCTCGCTATTTAAGAAAAACCACAGGGGGGGGCCAAAATGGCCCCCCCCATCAGGGCGCGGGTTATCAAATTGTGCTCACTGTGGTGCGCTCGGTTTTACCTTGACTAGTCTTTGAATTCTGGGGTGAAACAGACCAGTCAAAAAACCTGTTCCATAAGGAGAGCCACTAATGCTAAAGAGATGAGGGATGAGGTTTCCAGAGACCTTCATTACCTCCCAAAGGGGGTGCCCCGCCATTTGCCAATCCCTGCTGTAGTTGTTACGACTGGAGGGTGAATATGAGAACGATGCAGGTCGTGCCAGCTCGATCATGACGAACAGAATGGTGCCGACATCACAGCTCTACTGCCATTTTTGACGAAGCTTATCAACAAGGACCGGAATCCTACCCTGGGGCATTTCACCTGCAGATGTCGCCGGACCTAAGACCCTCTCACTCAATTTTTTTCAACGGTGCATGCGCTCGTTTTTCCCGCGAAGCTCTTGGAAAGAAAAATCCATCAGAAAGTGTGATCAAATAACGGCTGGTGACCTTCCATGACCTAGCATGACCTTTTGAGTGACCACCGATGACATGACCACTGACGGCTAGCCATTAGCTGCACCCTGCCCGTTGCATATGGATCAGGTGGTGATGTCATGATTCTGAAATTATATTGCAGTTTTGGCGCACTTGTCAGAGCAGAAGACATTGCCATGAAGCTGACCACGTCTGGTCAGCTTCATGGCATATAATGGTGAAGCCATGAAGCTGACCAGACGTAAGATCGAAAATTTGAAAGTACGAAACGTAGGAATATAGTTGGCACTGCTACTCATACCTAAGCAATTCGCAGCTTGTAGGTAACCAGCTTTGAGTTGGCAAGACTGCAAATTTTGATTTAGAGGCAAGGATGCTTGAAAAGGTGATCGATCTTAGGTGTCCTAGGATAAGTTTGGAATCGGGATGCACCATTGGATGTGTTTTGGCCTTTGCCAGGTTTCGCGGCGTTACGTGCCTCGTTTTTTTTTTTTTTTGCATACACAATCAGTATCTAGGAAATCCTACTTTTGCTACTTTTGGGAATCCTACTTTCTACTTTTGTCCTACTTTTACGAAAATCCTACTTTTGGGATTTTCGGTCAGGCAAGCCCCCGTCCCCGTCCCCCCCTATCGAAAACCCGTGGCGCCGCCCCTGATCGTTGCAACACAACGTAAGCTACGCCGACACTTCAAAAGGACCCAAGTGCCATCAAGAACCGTCATTTTAAGTATAGTTGAGAAGTTTTTGGCAAGAGGTAGTGTGGAGAACGTAAAAAAGGGTAAATGTGGCCGAAAAAGAACCAAGAGGACGCCTCTAAACGCCCAAAAGGCACGAGAAGCTCTCCAGAGGAGCCCACAAAAATCGCTCAGACGGCTGGGCCAGGAACTGGGCTGTAGCAAAACCACCGCTCACCGTTTGGCCAGAAACGACGTTCAGCTGTTCCCGTATAAGGTCTCCGTTCACCAAGCACTGTCGAAAGTCGACAAACAGTCACGGCTTCTTTACAGCGGCTGGTTTTTGAGAAATTGCGAGCAGGACAATGAGTTCCTTCACCGAATCTGGTCCAGCGACGAGGCCCATTTTCATATGGATGGCCGCGTGAACTCCCATAATTTTCGATTCTGGTCGACGGAGCCACCCGATTTGGTCGCGGAAGCCCTTCTGCACAGTGTGAAGTGCACAGCCTGGTGTGCAATGAGCAGCAGTGGCATCATCGGACCTTTCTGATTTGAGAACGACGCTGGGGAGTCTGTCACCGTCAACGCTCAGCGCTACCGGCAAGTCCTAGCCAAGTTCTGGACTGCGCTGAACAGGCGGCTGGGTGGAGACAGGCAGCTGATGGACCAACAATGGTTCCAACAAGACGGAGCCTCGGCGTACACGGCTGTTGCGACTCGAGAATGGCTGTGGAACCGATTCGGTTCGCGGGTTATCTCCCGCAGAGAGGTGCGGACCTGGCCCCCGCACTCTCCGGATCTGACCCCACTTGACTTCTTTCTCTGGGGTCACCTGAAGTTACAGGTCTACAAAAGCAACCCCAGAACCACAGATGACCTCAAGAGGGCCGTGTCGTCCGCGGTGCGCCGAGTGCGGCCAGAGATCTGCCGGGCTGCGGTGGAGTCCGCTCGGCGACGCGCAGAGCTGTGTGTGGAGTGAGAGGGGGCTCATCTGGAACACGTCCTCTGTGGCCGCAAATGAAAAGACAGCAAAAAGAAGATGGTATCACGTGAAATGGCATCGACTATTGTGTATGTTAGAAAGTGATTCGTTTTTGTCATGCCTTCCATGCTGATAATATACAGCTTTTCAATACGACTGTTTATTTAGGAACTCCCGGTACAGTCCTTATAGTCACCCGATCGTGCAGCGTAGGAGACCACTGACCATAAATGCATTGCATTGCTCATCCATGTATCTCCATTGTGACATAATATCACCGCGTCTGATAAGATTCTTATATGTCGAAGTTTGTTCCCCCAGCCGCCTATTACAGCATTTCCTGAACGCGTTTAATGGGCGCTTAAAAAAAAAAATGAAGGATGTATGCATGCTAAGCTACATCAGTCTTCTGCTATAGCATAGCTACATCCTATATGTACAACCCGTTCATTGCCGAGAGCGATCGATGTGTGATGACAAGCCACCAACTGATAGCATGTGTCGCATTAAGAAAAGACAGTTAATCGGTCGACGGCCCAGAATATGGGTGCCAAACCGGGGACCGTTTACTGATCATTAGTCTTCCGAGCCTGGCGGGAGGCGATGATCGATGATCATGTTATCACCGACGTTGAGCCTCAATCTTCCGCGATTGCGGCAAGATCACTGTCTCACTGAACATTGTAAACAAATGATTTGACAGAGTTTTTTCGTCACTTTCTTTTGGTGGTGTGGCTTCATCGAGTGGATATGTTATATTTTTTCAGCTTTTAAATAAGCTTTGAACGCAAATGCCTAAGAAATAACATATATCATAGACCTCTGTCTCCGACGGTGTACAGAGGTCTATGCATATATCTTCTTAATTTATCTCACTTTAAATATATGTAGAAAAACAAGGACAGCGATAAAATATGATGAACCCCCTTATTTGTAAAACAGATTCTTAACCGCAACGATACGAGCATTGTTATTTAGGGCTTTGGTAAGGTGATCTTTCTGTCCACGGCTTGAGCTGACCTGGTGATACCCACTCGCCACGGATCACAGTTTATGGGTAGCCCCACTGATTGACCTACAGCTGACCCATTGATCTCCACACCGACTACCCCGTGATGGAATGGTAAGTAGCTCCCAATCTCCCAGTCCCCGCTGACTGCTCCAAGTCCACAATCTGACGCGCCGGTCCCCCGTCCGCAGGCTGGCTGGGCGCGCTCTCGATGGCTCTGTCGTGGCTCCTCTCGCCGTTGACAATCGCCATCTGCCGGAGGAAGTCCACCCGACTGACGGCTGTCCTCGGAGGACTGGTGGCCGCCCTCGGACTCCTCTTCACCTCCTTCGCCTCCCGGTTCCATCAGCTGTTCATCTCGTACGGTACCATATTCGGTAAGCCGAGTACCTACTGTCAAACCCAAGGCCCTAAAAGCAGACATCTAAACCAGTACTGTTCTTACTTATAGATAACCTAAACAGTCTAAAGGTCAAAGCCATCTATCGGTAAGCAATATGCATTGAAGATTAATATTTACTTGAAGTCCACTTTTGGCATCACATGTCAGATACGACCTTTCCATCCGGCTATTTTTAAAGCTGCGCTCGTTGAATTCCAAAGTTTCTATGAAATCGACAAACTCAGTAACATGACTCTGAATTTGCCGTTCGCGTTGTGTGTGGGTTCAGTGTTCACCGTTGCTTCGCCTTACTCCGAGTACTCAGTGTCGTCATTACCTCGCGCCCCTCCCTGCAGCGGTGGGTGTCTCCATGACCCGGGACGCCTCCACTTTGATGGTGGGCCAGTACTTCAAACGGCGACGGGAGCTGGTCGAGACGATTGTCATGTCCGGTAGTGGTGTCGGGCTCGCCATCATGTCGGCCCTCATCCAGGGCACCATCAAGTGAGTGGATAGGTGGATTCAGTGACGTCTCTCTGGACAATCAATTTGACCAATACGTACGTTGAAAGTTGACGAAGTCGGTCGTCAACACTTGAAATATATTTTCAACTGGCATCGTTAGGGCTACTGCAATTAATTTCTGAGGAACTAATGATTCACTTCAGAACTTAAGTAGATTTCCGCAAATTACTGTAATGTTGAACGACCGTTATGCGTTTTAGGATGTATGTTTCTCCATCTTGACGTCCTCTCTGCCTGTTTCTCTGCTCGTCCCTCGGCAGGTCGCTGGGCTGGCGGCTGGGTCTGCAGGCCGTCACCGGCGCCGTGGTCTTCACCTTCCTCCTGGGCACCTTCTACCGGTCGGCGTCGCTGTACCACCCGCAGAGGAGGGCCATCCTACACCTCAAACACTCCAAGAAAAAGGTGAGCTAACGACCCAGAGGAAAGGGCCGGCCATCCTCCATCTCAAGCGCTCCAAGAACGCTCAAACGCTCCAACTCTCTCTGTACAATGTCGATGTGCGCTGGTTTGAGAGTTATTTGTCAGACCACTATCAACAAGTACTCATTACCGGCACGCTAGCTGGAGTCCGCACGCTGTCGCAGCCGCTCCTGAACCCAATAGGCACATTCCAGGGATCCACGCTGGGCCCTCTGCTGTACTCGATATACGCCGCAGATATGCCTTTGTACCTCGATGTAGACACCGTGCATGATAAGTGCCTCGTGCAGTACGCCGACGATGTGCAGATGGCTGTGTTCGGCAAGCCTCGGGACAGTGGTGCGCTGGTTCGCAGTCTGGAGCAGAATCTTTCGGCCCTTTCACTGTGGTGCGGGAAGAACGGGATAAAGTTAACGCAAACAAAACACAGCTGACAGTTATTGGAACATGTCAAAATCTCCGTAGGCTGCCTCAAATTCAAGTACCTACAGTTTATGGGCACGATTCTCGGCTCCCGTTCAGTCAAAAACCTTGGCGTAGTTTTTGACCAGAATATCACATTCTCGGTGCATGTAGATGACGTTGTACGACGTTGTACCGGCCTACTCAGCGGACTGAGTCACAGCAGGCACGCGCTCCCACGAGACACGCTCTCCACTGTTGTGCAGGCGCTCGTTGTCTCGTTGGTACGGTATTGCATCAGTGTGTACGGTGTATGTGGTAGCACACAAATGGTACGACTGCAGAAACTGCTGAATTACGGTGCGCGTGTTATTTCGGGCCGTCGCAAGTTCGATCATATCAGTGACGTGCTGAAAGATCTGGAGTGGCTGACAGCGAAGAATCTGCATCAGTACCATTCGCTGACCCTGTTAAAGCGAATTTTATCCAATGGCCAGCCGGAGACATTGTACGATAGTCTGGTGACTCGGGGCGATGTTCACGGCCGTGTAACCAGACAGGCGGACCAGCTAGACAGGCCAACGATACACACGGAGTCGGGGAGCAGACGTTTCCTGTACTCAGCTGTCACTGCGTATAACGCGCTACCGCAGGCGCTCCGTGAGATGGGGCCCAGACTCTTCCCACAGAACCTCCGTAAACACCTGCTCGAGCGTCAAAACGGCGGTGAATAGGTGTCGGATTGTATGTAGTTGTGTGCATGAGTGTCTGTTCCCAGTTCCCATCGATTGTTTTTGACGCGCGAATCATAATAGCCATGTGTTCATGGATGATTGCAAGATGTTCCTACATACATACAAGAAAAAGGTGAGGTAGCGACACAGAAAAAGGATGGGGACTTGTGTCATTGCAATTGGTGCAAGTGACATCACTACCTTTCAGGCTGTTGAATCCATACATCATACACATCATCATTCGTGCTGTTCGTTTCAGGTGAAAGGCAAAACAAAGATAGACGACAAGCCGCCGTTTTTCGACGTGTCCATGCTGAAGTCGCGGACGGTGCGGATGCTGCTGTTCTCGGCGAGCCTCAGCTCCGTTGGCCTACATACCCCGCTCATCTATCTCGTATGTGTATTTTAGGTGTATGTATTGCCTGAGAGGATGCGATGCGCTACCTATTGCAGGGTTAATTTACAGTTTCAAATAATAACATTGGGACCAGGCAAAACGGCATGTTTTGAAAATAGCACCATAAATAAACTTTACTTTTAAATGCCATTGCTTGGATACTAGCCAAGGTATGCTATGAAAACTTTCCCTCAAGATATATCGACGACATTTTACAACATTGTCGTACGTTGCTGGGCCTTCGTATGAAATAGTGAGCCCCTGACCCTTTGACCTCAGGCGCAGCAGGCCCGTCAGGAGGGCATCAGCGAGGACTCGGTGCTGCTTCTACAGACCTACCTGGGGCTCGGCTGGACACTCGGCTGCTGCGCCTTCGGGTTCGTGGTCGTCAGAAACAATCAGGTGCGGTCTCCGTGAGTTCCGTTTGTCAGGATACGTGCCTAAAAGTTATAAGAGACATTGAAAATTTAATTTATCACAAGCAGATACATTGATTTTTAGTGCGAAGTCATGACCTTTGTATTTTGACTCGACCGTACAATGCATAGCAAACTTCCTAAATTTCTACCTTGATTTTTTCAAACACTAAACAGTTCCAAACTTTTCTACCAATACCTTAGCTGCTTCTGGATGTGATGGCCTGCGCAGACCTTCGGTCATAGTTTCGGCCTTTGATCTGTATGCGAACTCCTAATTGTACCGATTACCGACAGCTCTTCTATCGGTTGCATTTGTCAGTGAAGCACCACTCACTCCGGCTCTGTTCTCCGACAGGAGTGTCACATCAGCCGTCAGTACCTGTACCAGGCGTCCTCCTTCGTCTGCGGTATGTGTCTGCTGGCGCTGCCCGCGGTGCAGGGCTACAGCGGCTACGTCCTCTTCGCCTGGCTCTACGGCATCTTCTACGGCGGCTTCCAGTACAGCCTCAAGATGTGCACGTATGAGAAGGTCCGCGCCAGGAACTTCGCCAAGACGTGGGGCTTCGTCCAGGGCAGCCAGGCGATACCTGTGCTGCTGGGAGCGCCCGTCACAGGTTAGTTGAAGATTTAGGATGAGAATCCGCCACTGGTGCTTTATTGCTCCTGAGCTACGCGACGTCTTGTTTTGTCTTCTTTTATGGATTCGCTTTTTACGTTTGAATAAAAAAAAAATCGCGTCTTTGTCTAAATAACATCGAAGCCTTATCGCCAGACGCCAGATCAGCATCGCACTCCGAAGTCCCAAACATGTTCTTTATAACGTGCTTTACTTTTACAGGCTACATAAACGTGGCCGTCGGCGGCAAGGCGGGCTACTACTTCAGCGCCACGTTCGTCGTCATCGGCAGCATCAGCATCTTTCTGGTGGAGTTCCAGCGGCGCCAGCGGCGGCGGCGGCGTCGGCACCGTCACGGTCACAGCGCGGCCGCCTCGGACGCGCCGCTGGCCGAGCAGCCGCCCCCGGAGCCGCTGCCGCGCGTCGACTCGCTGCCTGACGTCGACGAGCGCGTCCTCAGCCTGCTGAAGCAGCGCGCCTCGGCCATGGCGGCGGCCCACAGCAGCGGCGAGCACCGCAAACAGCAGGAGCTGACCTGCATCTCCGAGGAAGGAATCGCCGACATGGACCTGCCCGACGAGCTGTTCGACGACATCGAGCTCGAGCTTAACCTGCTGCAGGGCGACATCACGTCCTGCAACAAGGTGGAGAACTACTTGGTGCTGAGCGAGTACGAGAACAACCTGTTTGCCGAGCAGCCGAGCGACCGACGGCCGGGAGGTCAGCGGCGCTCCGTCAGCCGCGGCATGGCAGCGGCGCAGGCCGCCGCCCGGCGCCAGGCCGACATCCCCGAGGAGCACCCGGAGATCGAGAGCGAGCCGCCCTCGGACGCCTCGTCCATCTCCTCGCGCCTGTTGCGCACGTTCCGCCGGGGCCGCAGGCGCGGCAGTGAGGCGCAGCGACACCCGCACTAGCGCTGGAGGGGTGCAGCGGTCACGGAGTCGTTAGCCGAGACGGTGGTCGTGATGGGGCTAAAGACGGATTGCAGACGGTCAGTGTTTTGGGAGAGGGGATCTTCCGAATCTGCCATCAGTTCGTGCCAAGACTGGTTGTTTGAACTTCAGGATATTGTAACGCGGCCAACGTGATTGTGATGTTGACCTTATTCATCCGAGCTGTCAGGGCGAGCTTATGTGTTTTATGAACGTTATAGTAACTGTGCGACGTGTGTGTGGGATTTTATCTCGGTCATGTGCAGCTACACTGCAGCTCTTGCACAGCTGGTGTATTACCTACTTTGCTAGCACACAACGTTAGTGATGAAGTCATTCACATCGTTATTCAAAATATTTAATGCGCTTGGTTTTACTATATTTTATTGCTTCGCTCTCCCACTGTTCACCTTTGATAGGTGTTTATATGTGAATTATTTGGTTGTTTTCTGACCATTCCCATCGTGGTGACTTGCGAATGTTATCGTGAATACGTTTTTTGTTACACTTTTTATGATCAAAGCCTTTTGGCATTTTTTCATTGATGGTGAACTACCGTCATTGTCTTGTGACTGTGAACATGGGACATGTAGCTAGAGCGTTGTGTACTTAGATGAGGAAATACATGCGGTATACTAAACTGTAAGCGTATCTTTGGGCTGCTGCACTATAGGCTGCTCCGCAGCTCTGAAGGACATTGTTTTGAAAGTATACGTAGTGGTATTTACGACGCAACGATTGAAATTATGTGCGGATTTACGTAGAAAAGACACTACAGTATGACCAATTTGTATTCAAGATTTATACGCGTGCATATCCGGATAGGGTGGTTCATACAACCGTCCATTGCAGTATTTGACCGGCCACAGCCAACAGCAATGCCATCTGGGCTGCAGCCACCACGAATTTAGTTCAGAAAGCCGTCAGCAGAGGCTCTGCCATCGACACAGGGCATCAGTAAACGTCACCCTTTGTGGCATTCTTGGCTGACGGACGTGACATCCGGTGGCCGTCTGGACGTGACTGGAGCGGGGCGCCGTTACGGAGCAGCCTCTATGACCTCTGACTCGAGGTCAGCGGCCGCTGGCTCGGCAGCGATCGCTTCCAGTCCGTTTCGGACGAACCGGGCCGGCGCTTGGGCTTCGACCGGCAACCTCAGCTGCTCAGGAATGTCCTGTACCGTGTACGGTACTTGTTTGTACGATTCACCGTCGTATGTGTACCTGTGGATGACAACAAAGGGGGTGACGGGTGTTATAACGGATCACTCATTTATATATTTAGACGGTAGCAAAGTGTTTTGTGCAAGCATGCTAAGTAGTAAGTATCCGTCATTGAGAAATAGTTGGGTCTGGTTCGAGTCTGGTTCCCAAAACTTTCACCTTTTGCCACCTCTACTGTAAATTTCTACACGTGCACTTAGTCATTAGGTATATCTACCTATTTATGTACAAAATAAGTTTTTCGCTTAGAAATGTCAATAGCTGATCGATATGAAAACTTTGTGTCATTCTCAGATACCGCAACATGACGAGGAATTAAGATGAACGTATCTCGAAGTTGACCTTCAACGGTAAGCCTTCTGCATTATAATTACCGGGATAATACTGTTCTCCCGTGGCCTAGTGGATAAGGCGTCCGTCTCCTAACTCGGTGGCAGCGAGTTCGCGGCCGGGAAGCTCCACGTCGTTTGACCCGCGTTCCTATATTAAGCCAGCTGGCAACTGGCGAGAGAGGGCCACGCTAGACCCGGGAGGACCGTGCCGCCATCTACCTGCGGCACGTTAAACTTTCGATCCAAATTATCACCGGTGAACCGGGCGCGGGCAAGGTGGGGTGGTGGGTCCGTGGTGTCATTCGCAACAAGCTCTGCTTAGCGGGGCACCCGGGCCCATAGCCATCCATTCGGACAAAATTTATAAAAAAATTAAAAAAATATGTGTACCACGACCGCGGTGTACAACATGCATGCTACATTGCAATGAAGACTTACATTCCAGAAGTAACGGCTTATTGATTCAGACTTGTGTACATTTCGTTATCTGATCGGTTGATTGATTCTCTAAATTCCGAAATTGATCAAGATCTTTCGCGCATATTTTCTCCAACTTGCCACTACACTACCTAGGTACTTGTTTGTAATAAGAAATAATGTTTGTAATAAGAAACGAATAATAACGATAGGATAAAGTAACGGTGACTTAAGTCAAGAACGGCTAAATCTGGAATTTCTGTAACTACGCGTTACTTTTTGGTGGTAGGCAGACAACTGAACCAGTGACAACTGAACCAGGGACAACTGAACCAGTAAAACTGAACCAGGGACAACTGAACCAGTGACAACTGAGCCAGTGACAACTGAACCAGCGACCAATGAATCAGTGACAACTGAACCAGCGACAACTGAACCAGTGACAACTGAACCAGTGACAACTGAACCAGGGACAACTGAACCAGTGACAACTGAACCAGTGGACAGCTGAACCAGTGGACAACTGAACCAGTGGACAACTGAACCAGTGGACAACTGAACCAGTAGACAACTGAACCAGTGACAACTGAACCAGTGACAACTGAACCAGTGACAACTGAGCCAGTGACAACTGAACCAGTGACAACTGAACCAGTATGATAACTGAACCAGTGACAACTGAACCAGTGACAACTGAACCAGTGACAACTGAACCAGTGACAACTGAACCAGTGACAACTGAACCAGTGACAACTGAACCAGTGTCCAGTGGACAACTGAACCAGTATGGCAACTGAACCAGTGGACGACCAAACCAGTGGACAGGACAACTGAACCAGCGGACAACTGAACCAGCGGACAACTGAGCCAGCGGACAACTGAACCAGTGGACAACTAATGTCGTACTGCGCTGTATAGGTATAAGGTAGCGGGTGGCTGGACGGACGGTCTGTGCCAATCTGCCGGTCTGCCAATTGATCTGTGTCCGATCTATTAGTGTCCGTCCGAGAGCCGTACGACGGCTGACAGGGCTGACAGCTAGCCTGGTGGTCGCGAACTGGTGTGGCAACCGTTACGCCCACTTGGGACGCCCGAATAGTTAGCAACGTATAAATGATATTCACTTTGATGGCCTAACTCGGGACAGACAGGGCACGCAACGTGGGCTTGGCAGAGTTCAGCCCGCCTGGGCCCAGAGGAATCTCCGGTATATAAATGGATTCACTGCTCGGGCTTACATCGGGCTTACGCCAAACGTCGCACAACTAGGGCTAAACAACGGCTGTCCTGAGCTCGCCGAGAGGCCCAGAGGGCATACCTCCGGCAGAGCATGGGCTTTAGTCGGCGTTTTTGTGTCATACGCCGACTTAAGTCTTTAGCCCAAGCGCTAGCCGACTTTAGTCCAAGCGCTAGCCGACTTTAGCCCGACTAAAAATCTCGGGCAAGCCGCACTTCAGCTTGCTTGGGCCCGGAGTAAAATTGCTTGCTGGGCTACTGGTTAGTGGTTCAGTTGTCACTGGTTCAGTTGTCACTGGTTCAGTTGTCACTGGTTCAGTTGTCCACTGGTTCAGTTGTCCACTGGTTCAGTTGTCCACTGGTTCAGTTGTCCACTGGTTCAGTTGTCACTGGTTCAGTTGTCATACTGGTTCAGTTGTCACTGGTTCAGTTGTCACTGGTTCAGCTGTCACTGGTTCAGTTGTCACTGGTTCAGTTGTCACTGGTTCAGTTGTCCGCTGGTTCAGTTGTCCGCTGGTTCAGTTGTCCGCTGGTTCAGTTGTCCACTGGTTCAGTTGTCTTCTGGTTCAGTTGTCACTGGTTCAGTTGTCCCTGGTTCAGTTGTCACTGGTTCAGTTGTCACTGGTTCAGTTGTCCCTGGTTCAGTTGTCACTGGTTCAGTTGTCACTGGTTCAGTTGTCCCTGGTTCAGCTGTCACTGGTTCAGTTGTCCCTGGTTCAGTTGTCACTGGTTCAGTTGTCCTGGTTCAGTTGTCACTGGTTCAGTTGTCATGGAACCCTTTTTGGTAACGCATTTTCTAGTTTGATTTAACACGGTGCGTAATTACGAGCGAGCGAGCGCAGCGAGCGAAGTGAGTCTTTTCAATATAACGGAACAATCTCAGTATGAGCGGCCCGGCCCGGCCCGGCCCGGCCCGGCCTGTAACGCTTTTGAGAGGCTTATATCTCAGCAACCGCTGGACCGATTGGCCTGCGGTCTTTTTTGTTGGGTAGCCCCATCCCTTCTACCCCGTAATTGACTACTTTTGATACATCTCAGTGACCGTCGTGGCACGTGCCACGTGAAAAGTCAAGGGTGTTCAAGCTGTTTTGCAAAAGTAGTGATTTTGAGAGGCTCATATCACAGCAGCCGCTTGAGCGATTGACTTGCGGTAATTTTTGTAGGGTAGCAGCATCCCTTCTACCCAAACTAGGATACTCTTGATGCATGTGGGTCACCCCCAGTGCACGTGCAAAATACAACAATAAGAGGTGCCAAATTTGTTCCCATTTCCGTAACTCGGTAATTACTGGGGCGATTTCGCTGAAACTTGGCATACAGGTAGGCACTAGGCACCCACCAGGCAATGCATTCCCATGTGTTGCGGTTAGGGTGCTACTGCACGTGCGCACGTGCAGGGGGCGTTTCCAGATCTCGAGAACGGCTGGGCCGATTGCGCTCAAATTTGGTACACGGTTGGGGACCAGTTAGTAGGGTGCCGTGCAAAAGTCATTTTGGACCCCGTTTGCACGTGCGCACGTGCAGAATGCCGCTTCCAAATCTCAGGAACGGCTGGGCCGATTGCGTTCAAATTTGGCACACCGCTAGCGACCAGTTAGAAGGGTGCTTTGCGCATGCCCGTTGGAAGCACCCTCTCGCCCTTCCGCACGTGCATGGCTCACTATCTCGCTCGCTCGTTCTTCGCCCAAAAGGCGTTTTACTGGTTTATATTTTGGACATGAATTACATTTGTAAAGCGTGCTCTGCTGCAATTATCCCGCGCCCCGTCGGGCTATGGGCGGCTCCCTACCACCCGTTTGGGGGGGGGGGGGGGATTTCGGCCCTTCCTCCTAAGATCTCGGAAACTTACCGAATACCGACCGGTTTTGAAAATTCAAACGGTGTTCGATAACGCCACTGCGCAACTACTTTGTGACCAAGTTTCATCGACCTGGATGCAACCGATGACGTCATAACTCCCAGGTCAGGTCAAGGGTCGCATTTTTCACCGATCACGGGCCTTCTAAGGAATGCGTTATAACATCGAGTAAAAGGCATGTTATCGAAAATTATCGATGCAGCGTTGGTCGCCTAATACATATCTTGCTTAGGAGGTTACTGATGCCAGGTCAGGTCACAGGGGTGAGGTCACTGAGGGTCACAATATGAACCCAACTATAATAGGGTCGTGTGATGCATGTTCTATGGCCAATTTTACATTTCCAATTCAATGGTGCGTGTTTGACGACCATTGAGGCCGGTTTAGGTTACGCTCTGGCAGAGGTCAGGTCAAGGTCAGGTCAAAAGGTCAAATTTCAATGTTGATAGTATTGCATAAAAGGGTATCTATGAGTTTGGAATTTTTTCGTCATAAATCTTGAGCAGTTTTTTTTGCGATAATTTTACCAAAAATGGAGCTATCAAGCCCAAATTTGGCATATCAATAGCAGACT